GCGGGTCCAGAGCGCCGGCTCCGCAGCCCGCGCCCGCCCTGCGCGGCGACAGCGACGGGCCGGCCGTAACCATGGGGACGCGGCGGCGGCTCCCTGCGGCAGGGCGGGACGGCTCTCGCGGCGCCCGTCAGCTGCGCAGCCGGTTTAAAGCGACAACCCGCCAGGTTTCGCCTTGCGCTTCCGGCACAATCAGACAGCTCGCATGAACGCGTCTCCCGAGAGGAGCATGCAGGATTCGATTTGATGTTTGAAGGAAATCCCTGTCCGTTGAGGGCTCCAGAAACAGAAATATAAAAAAATTGATCTTGAAGGAATGTTCATAGTCCTTGCATTAAAATATCCTCAAATCCAAATATGCCAAAACTAAGGTGAACCCATAATGAATCCATCGCGGCGTGAGTCAGCAGGGCAGAGGCAGGCGGTGTAGACCGGCCTGTGGCTGTGAAGACAGCGCCCCTCCCCGGCCCCTCCCCCAAACCAGGACCACCCCCCCACCCCACACTGACAGGCACTGAGGACGCCTTGAGTTGGGGGCAGAGGGCCAGAGGGCCACACAGAGTCCCCCGGAGGTGGGGGCAGCCTCCGCCAGACACGACCCCCCGCCCACCCGGCCATCCTCTGCAAGGTGGGGTTGGGGGCCACTCGAGTCTCCTGCACAAGCTCCGTTCTCCAGGGCGGCGCCAGGCCAGGGGCAACACCCTGCAAAAGTGAGCTGGGAACACCCCTTCCAGGGCCCACAGCTCATTCCCTCCGTCCCTCCTCCCTCCCAGGCCCTCAGCCTGTGGCAGCTCCTCTCCTCAGGGTCCCTGACGCTGACCCTGACCCGCAGCCCCCATGCTGAGGGGCCTGAGCAGATCCACGTGGGGGATTTCGATAAGAATCAAGAAGGTAGAATTAGAGGCAGCTACCGCTTCCTCAGCCTCCTGGCATGTTGCTTCAGAGGGGGGTGTTCAAAGCTTGCCCGCGTCCCCATCCTCCCACCCAGTATTCCCACCACCCCCCGTCCATCCTCCCACCCAGTATTCCCAACACCCCCGTCCATCCTCCCACCCGGTATTCCCCACACCCCCCGTCCATCCTCCCACCTGGTATTCCCAACACCCCCTGTCATCTTTCCTGCCCAATATTCCCAAAGGCCCTTCTCTGGGATGCGGTGATGAGCTGTGTCCTCTGGGGAGGGACAAGGGATGGGGTCTGGGCAGGTCTATGTTGACCTGTGTTTGAGCCTCCAGGTCCTCCATGTGTGTTCTGACTTTTGGGGACAGCTCCCCTTGGCTGAAGTGCAGCTGTGCAGCCCCTGGTTTCAGTCCTGGATGCGAGGTGGGAGGGGCCCCTGAGTGTGAGATCCTGTTGGATGCCTCGGGCCAGGGGTCCCCCGGGTGCCGCCTCTGGCGTCTTGCTCCCCGAGCTGGGTCTCGAGTCCACAGAGACTTTTCCAGGAATGGGCTGTGATGGGGGTGCATGTTGGCCTGTCTCCCCCAGAGGATCCCAGCACATCAAGGGACAGCCCTGGGCCCAAGGAGCAGAGCTGGCCTGGCTGGGAGCAGCTGCCCGCCCCCTTGCAGGCCTGGCCTATCTCTGCCCTGGGCCAGAACTGGAGTCTCTGGAGTCCCATGGGGGAGGGAGCTTTGCATGGGAACGTGCAGAAGAAGCTGTCTGGGGGTGGGGCGGGGGGTGGAGCCAGCCGGGTCCTGGAGGAGCCCCCACCGCTGCACCTCCACTCACCCGTGGAGCTCCTGGGCTGCCCCACAGGCTCCACAGGGGAAGATAGTCAAACCCAGGCTCCCTTGGTATCCAGGAGGGACACAGGGCCCTGGGTGCTTTGAAGGGGTCTGGGGTCCAGGAGGGGTGCACAGAGGGTTCCGGGTGTTTTGGGGGGCTCTGAGGTCCAGGAGGGGCATATCGAGGGTCCTGGGTGCTTTGGGGACCCTGCATGGTGTGGGCGTGGAGCAGACGGGCACGCAGGGCTGCCCACCTTCCCCGCTGCACTACAGTCTGCCCCGGGGGTGCAGGCAGCCTGGAACCCAAGCGCAGCGTTACCTGCGGAAGGACAGGGAATGCAGGTGTGGCTGGTGCTGCCACGTGGTCAAGAGCTGCCCAGGAGCCACATCTGCGGGGCTGGGGCCTGGCGAAGTGTCAGGGGCCGGCCGGGTGGCCCCGTCACCCACAGCTGCTGCCCCAGGGTCCAGGCCTTGGAGCTGCCCGAGGAGGGCATGGGGATGGGTGGGGACAGGCTGTTGCCTCGTGCACGGCCCCACACAGTGTCCTGGGCTGTGCCCTTGTCACAGAGCAGCACACCTGTGAGGTGGGGAAACTGAGGCACGGAGCAGCTGGGAGCTTTGCTGGTCAGGGGCTTTGCATGGCAGCGCCAGCCTCAGGACCCTGCGGTTTGTCACTGTGATGTGGGGTCAGCCTGGCCCTGTCTGCTGCAGGCTGCTGCTATACTCGTGGGGTGACCTCGAGGTTGTAGCTGCCGTGACGACATCCTCCACTCAAGAACCCAGAGGGACCCTGCTTGCCGTAGGGTAGGGAGTTCCAGAGTCACTGGGCGCCTGCCCGGCAGGACAGAGTGTGGCCCGGGCCCCATGCAGGCCTCCAGGCAGTGCTCAGCTATGAGCCCCGAGGGGATGTCCATCTGCACCTGCCCTGCCCTGGAGATCCCGGACCGCCTTCTGGACCGCAGCCAGCACAGCGCGGTTTACCAGGGCGCGCGCCTTTTCCAATTTCCGCCGAGAGGAAGAGTCCCATCAGGTGTTGCAGGACACCTATCTGCTCCCATCTCTCAACCGCTGAGGGAGGAAAACGCAAAGCAAAGTGAAACGGGCGATTTCAGAATGCAGATCAATAAACGTCTTCACGGGGCTCCTGTTCCAGGCGGATTTTACCTGCATGTTTCCGAGCTGCTTCTCCAGGACCCGCCTGGGTTCCTGCGGGGAGGAGCCAAGGATGAGTTCGCGTGTTTGCCTTTGCGTTTATGGAGTTACCCAGGTTACGAGATTTGTCGTGAGGAGTCGGCGTACACGCGGGACGGATGCCAGGTGACCGCCGGGGTCTCGGGCTGGAGCTGGCGCTGCTGTCCGGGCAGCCGGTCCGTCGCCTGCGCCAGGGCAGCCCACCGGGCCCTCCGGGCACAGACGGCGCCGCGTGGATGTCAGCCCTGTCCACACAGTCCCTCTGTGGCAGCGCCCAGGCCGGGGCCCAACTGGGGAGCTGGGGACGGCAGTCTCAACGCACGCACCGGCCACCTCCCCAGGACCCCCTGGGACGTTCTTTGCAAAGGGCCAGACTGCATCCCGCGCGGGTCCAGGACGGGCATCTCTCTCGAGGCTGCCGAATTTGGTGGCTGTGGCGACCTGGCCGTGCGCGCTGTGTGGCCGTAGGCGAGTCTACAGACACTGAGGTTTGAATTGCGCGTGGTTGTCGTGTGCCACGAAATATTGTTCTTCCTTCGATTTTTTGGACCGTTTAAAACTAAGACATTCAGCTGACGGGCTGCGTGAACGCGGGCGGCGGACTCGTCCCCGGTCCTGCCAGAGGAGGAATGATGTTCTGGAAGGAGGCGGCGGCTTCCCTGAGGCCAGTCTGAGCGAGGACCCGGCCAGGCCTGGGGAAGGGGCGGCCGCTTCCCTGGACCCCCAGCGGGAGCCGGCGCAGGGCTCTTCCTGCCGCAAACCTGGCGCTTTCAGCACCGACCCCACAAAAGCCGTTTCCCCGACACGGGCCCCACGGCGCTGGGAACGCGCTTCTGTAAGCCCCGACTTAGTGTGTGGCGCGTTTGTAGTTTAATGAGCGTAAGAGACTCGCTTTGCCCAGGTCACAAGTGTCCCCAGCGTGCTTGGCGCTGGTCCCGTCCCCTCCCTCTCAGCACACTGAGCTTCCACCTCCCTTCCAGAAAGGTCAGTTTCCTCTTTCTCCTCAACAGGGGAGGAAACTCCACGTGAGTCCTGTGAGCCGCTAGGGCCGTGACCAGGGCCGGGGCCCTCGGTGGCTTCACGGCCTGACGTGAGGCCCTGTGGGGAAGACTCTCGCAGGGCAGGAGGGGCCGGTCGGAGGCTGCCGGCCGCCCCCCAGACAGAGCAGGCCCCGCCGCCCGCAAGGGCCTCAGGCGCAAACGCTCGGGCCACAGGGCGCCAGGGGACCGTTTCTCTGCCGCCCGTGGATTTGGGCATCTGCGGCTGTTTGGGGGAGAACAGGACACAGTCCTGGAGCCGGCCTCACGCTTGGTCAACAGCTCCCGGCTCTGCCAGTGACCGGACACAGCCCTCCCCGGGGGCACCAGCCCCATCCCGAGGCGTGCAGGGCTGGGTGCTGGGCACACGTGTGGCGCTTGCTAAAAATACCGCATCTCTGGAATCGGCATGGCCTCGGGTCGCTGCTGACGTCTCAGGCAGGACGCGCCGTCGCAGACACCTTGAAGGTCTGGGGCTGCGGCCTTCCAGCCGCGGCCTGGGGACCTGAGAGCCGGACATCGGAGGCCCACGGGGGTGGGAAACGGGGTCTCGGGGGTGGGCAGCCTGGCCCGGAGGGCGCGGGACCTGCGGCCGGCCTCCCCGGCGGGCGGCATCCATCTGCGGGTGGAATTAAATACGGCTCTCCAGTTGCCATGGCGACCAGCCTCTTCCCCCCACAGCGTGGATTTGAATTTGTGCAGACCGTTTCTGGCTGAGATTTAAGCCAACAAATTCATCCTTGCCCTGAGGTGAAGCCTGGTTTGAGAACCAAATAACAAAATTAACAAACTTAAAACATTCCTGATGCCGCCGCTTCTCTAACAAAACGCTGTTGGAGCCCCATGGGGACCAGGGCAAGTTCTACTTCCATCTGACGCCGCCAGGAGGCCGCTGCGTGAAGCTTCCGGAACACCGTGTGTGACGGGCAGGCAGCTGCGGGGTGCTCTGGGGCCCTGGCGGCAGGAGGGTCCCAGGTGGGTTTACTGTGGAAACCTGCACTGCCCGGGGCCCGGCACGTCCAGGCTGGAAGGCCGGGACCGCACAGGGCCCGGTGGCCTGGGCTGAGCCGTGGGTGTGGACGCCGCAGGGCACCGGGTGGGCTGCACACGGGGTAGGGGGTGGCGTTGAGGGGCGGGACCCCGGCCTCTGTCTCTGAGTGCCCCACGCACACTGGCCTCCTCTGGGCCTGAGAGATATTCTCCTCCTTGCGGAAGGTACGAAGGGCTCTCTCTCCCCGCCCAGGACCCTGGGTGTGTTGGAAGTTCGTGGAGGGTCTGGCGGGAGGAAGGAGCCGCGCTGTGCATTCCTGGTAGTAGGGAAGAGACGGCACCAAGAGTCCCCTCCCCTGAGGTCCGCGGAGGCCCCAGGGCGGCTGGGGCACCCAAGGCTCCTGCCTGCTCTGTGGCCGCCAGACACGGAGGAGCTACGTGGCCCCCTGCCACGGAGCCCACTAGGCCTTAGAGGCTGTCTGGGCCAGGTGGGGAGGCTGGACATGTGTTCTGTGGCACTAGGGAGCCACAGCGGGTGTCTGGGGGAGAGAGTGAGGGCAGGTTTGCAGACAGCTTTCCCGGGGACGTGGGGGTGCTGCGGCTTTGCTTAAACATGGTGGAGGGGCTGCCTCTCGGCTCCCCAGAATGTTCTCCTGAGGACCCACAGGACCTACACGCCTTCCAACATCCTCAGCTGCCCGTGGGTGGACGAGCCCACGTGGTCTGTGCCGACCTCTTTCAGGAGCCCTTGGAGTGTGTGGGCCCCGGAGCAAACGCGGACACCCCCAGCGGCAGCACATCCGCGGGAGGCTGTGCCTGGCACAGAGCGCCCCACACCACGGCAGCAGCACCTGCCACCCGCTGCCCACCTGTGGCTCAGCTTTGTGGCGCCTCATCCTCCGCGGACACTCTGGCGCCAGCAGGGCCCCTCGGGGAGAGCGTGTTGGAGCTTCCTGTCAGATACCGGGACGCGGTTCTAGCTGGTTGAGGGTTCGAGGCCCCAATGAGCAACCTCCCCCGTCCAACCTCCCCCACGACAGCCCAGTCCCTCTACTGGAGCCGGGTTGCGACAGACCAGGGACACCGGTGCCTGCTCGAGAGCACAGTGGCCGCCCAGGGGGGCTCCCGAGTCTCCCACACACGTTGCCGTCCACAGCGCCCAGAGCCGCAGTGTGGCCTGGGCACCCAGCCGCCGGCGTGGGGCGAGGAAGCCTCCCAGGAACTCCTGCTGCGGAAACCTATACGTGCCGCCGGCGTCCACCGAGGGCCGGTCACGGGGAGAGCGGAGCAGCGGAGCCGTGCTGCTCAGCTCAGCAGCAAACACTCCTGTCGCCGTAACGGTCCCCGTAAGGTCCTGGGCTCTCGGACGGCAGAGCCCACGGCCACCAGACGCCGGCTTTGCAAAGACACGTGAGCACACTGACGTCCTGCTCCACGCAGATAATTCCCCAGACTCGGAAGTGACGCGTGTCCTCCGAACACTTGTAAATACGGAGCTGACAGCCAGACCCCCACTCCCCACCGTGCGTCCAGATCTCCGACGTGGGGCGAAGGCCACACAGAAACGGCTGGTTATCCAGGTGGTTTATGCTGCACAGACTGGTCCCGTGTCCAGACCTGCAGAATTAGCCAAATGACCTGGTTTTCACAAAGACATTCCCGGGTCGGGAGCCTGTATCTCTTCTCTCTGGGCCGACTGGCCTTTGAGTTCCTCCCAGGAGCGGGAGCGGCTCCGGGCCTTTCTCTGCCCTTTGCCGCTGGGTCAGGGCTGGACGCCAGGCCCGCGTGGCCCACGGCAGGACTGGTCCCCGCCCCCACCGCCCCCCTCAGGTCCTGCCCCGGCCCAGACAGGACAGGCGCCCTCACGCCGCCTCCTCTGCCAGGCCTTCCCCTCAGCGCCTTCCCGGGCTCAGCCGCAGGAGTCTGTGAGGTCAGGTGGGCTCGGGCCGGGCCGTCTGGGCTGAAGTCTGAACGGGGCAGTACCGTCCCTCCCTGGGACCAGCTGGCTGCGCTGCAGGGCAGCCCCCAGTCCTGTGGTCCTCAGCCACCCTGCGCCCCCCGGCGCGAGCCCCAGCCCCTCCGTCTGCCGCCTGGTGCTCTCTCCACCGCCGGCCGACAGCCTCCTGCCTGGCTCCTGCCAAGGCTTCTGGCAATTGGACCAAGCAATTTTACCAAATTAGATGTGGTCCAAAGCAGGTCGTTCCACCTGGCAATTTTGTTAAAATAATTATTTGAAAATTAATATTCCCAGATCCCTGCTTTTTCCGTGATTAGCAGTTTTGGCCTACAACACGACAGCTTTCCAACTCTTTATATCTCGAAACGTTGCTTTCTTTCCTTTCAAATATCTTTGAGCCTAAAAATAATCTTTTTATTTTAAAATGTTTAATAATTTTCCTGGCTTGAGCTGTTGGTAATGGCAGAAGTTTGGAACAATCTAAATACCTCAGGACGGGGTGGGCGGAGTGACTCGCGGCCTGTCTGCTGGGGACGTGAGCTGCACGTCCAGGGCCTCGGGGACGTCAGTGACACCCTCATGCTCCCCCTGTCCCCAAACACTGCTCCTACACACGGGGACTCGGCGAGGGCGCAGTGGGAGGCTCTGCCCTCGGGAGTCACACGGGGGGCGATGGACACGCACACGCACCGACCACGTCTGCAGGCCACGGACAGGCGAGGCCGGCAGTGACAGCCACGGAGGCGCCATCTGGGGCGGGCGGTCGTGGTGACACAGACGTCCTCGTGGAAGACACGCGCTTCCGGGGAAGCTCATGGTCAGCCTCGCCACACAGACTGAGGAGGGGTCAGCACCGGCCCCCAGGACACGGGTGCACACGCACACGCCTCGGGGAACCCGGGCACCCTCAGCTTCTAGAAGCCACAGGGCGGAAGAACTGCCAAGCCCACGTGGAGCTAGTTTCCTGCAGAACTGCGAGTCCTCTCCCACAAGTCGGCATGTTTGTGTATTTTGGAAGTCTACGAAAGCTAAAATCCTCATTAATTTCAAAATACAGTTCGCAAACTCCAAATATTTGACCAGTGCGTCCATATGTTCCACAGTTTCCCGCTAGAGCAGGAGGCGCAGCAGGAGCTCTGGGGAAGACGTGGGTGTGCCGGCGCCGGGCTGAGTCCGCGGCGGAGGAGCCGGCGCGCTCCTGGCTTCCGGGCTGTGACGGCGGGAGGGCCACCCTGGAGCAAGGCCCAGGGCCCAGTCCCGCCGTGCTAGGGGCTCGGGTGGCTGTGAGGAAGAGGAGGGGGCGGGAGGCGGGAACCGCGGCCCACGCGCTAGCACCGGCCCCTTGCCCCCGGAGAGCCCAGCACGGCACTCGCCACCCCCTCCTGGGTCTGGGGCTCTGCCCCTCCTGCTCGCCGGGGCGGGCACAGACCCGGAGTCCGTGGGGGGGGCTCGAGGCTGCTCCGCAAAGTGGGGCCGTGGGTGTCCGGGCCAGACCGGCCTGAGCCAGCGACCCTGGGGCACAGGGGCAGGTGCAGCCACCAGGACTGCGGGTGGAGCGAAGGCCGCCTGGGCTTCCTCCCGAGGCGCCTCAGACCCTGCCAGCAGCCCCCCCAGAATGCGGGGGTGCAGCCCTGTGGTCTCTCCGTCCTGCAGTTGTAAAAATCCTTAGTAGCCTCTAAACTACTGATAAAATAAGGCTTCCTAATCCTCAGTCTAAAAAAAGATTCCTGATGAAGCAGTTTTCTCCAGACGCAGCTTGGACACGGCCAGACCCAGCCAGTTGGTCTTTCAAGTCGACTTTCAAATCCCGGCCTCCCGCCCTCCCTCCCTTTCCGTTCCCCAGAATCGGCTCCCGCGGGGCTGGGATCCCTGAGGCCAAGTCCCCTGGCCCCCGCAGGTCTGGTGTGGCTGCCACCGTCACCGGCCTCCTGGCCCAGGCCCGAGCGCCTCCCAGCGTCCGTGTGCCAGGGGACGAGGCGCCAGACCACGTGGGCCAGCGTCACCCTCCTGACCACGGGCTCCCACGCCGGATGCCGCAGGAGCTCAGTTTTTTCCTCTAGGCACCAGGGCGGCAACAGCTCTGGGCTGGGCTGTGCCACCCCTTCCACGCAGCCCCCATGTGGCCGTGGGCAGGCTGTGACTGGCATCTTGGACCCTCATAAGTGGCTGGCACGGCGCCTGTCTGGAGGACGCTCGGTTCTTGTGCTGAGGGCTCAGGGTTCCTGGGCTTGGACTTCTTTGACGTGTGGGAGACGGGGGGCCCGCGCTCGCTCAGAACACAGGCCGAGGCCACGCAGGGCAGGAGGCCCTGTGTGCAAAGGCACCGAGGGCACCGCCCACCCGGCCTCTGCCGGGACATGCCGAGGGCCACGCCGAGCCTGGGCTGTGGCCTGTGGCCTGCTCTGGTCCCAGCTGTGCCGCGGCCCCGGCGTGAGCTCGTGGACGGAGGCCCGCAGGGGAGGTGGGGCAGCCGCTTCTGGGCCTGGCCGGGGAAGAGGGTCATTCTCAGGCTCACTCTCGTGTTCTCTCCTAGGCGAGGCGGACGTGGAGAGTGAGGACCACAGGCTGCGCCTCTCCAGGGTGTTTGGGACAGTTTGTTAGAAACGTCAACTGTGGGGAAAATGTCCCCAAATTGCCTAAGTTGGGGACTTGGGTGGGCACCCCCGTGGCTGTCACAGTGGCTGCCACAAACGCCCTGTGCCCGATAGCAGCTCCCGCACAGAGTTCGCCCAAGGGGACAAAGGAGGGACCCGCTCGGACTGGCTCCCCGGGTGCCCACAGGGACGTGGGTCCCCTGGCCCCGTCTCAGCCTCTGGGCCTTTCTCATCCCGCCATTGCCTTCTTGGTGGCCTTGCGCGGCTCTGCACCCCCCGGAGGGGCCCGGCTGCGCCTCCTGAGCTCCCGGCATGGTCTCCACGGCCAGCCTGGACCCCACGGCGGAGCCCCAGGCCTCGGGGGCCTCGATGTCTCCCGGTTTGCTCAGTAAAACAAGCCAAGAAGCAAAGACCAGCCCAGGTCCAGTGAGCCCCCGAGTGCCCACGCTGTGGCCTCTAGCACGGCAGCCGCCACGTGAGCCGTGTTTGACTCACACTGGTTTCGAGCCCCGGGCCTCGTGACGCACGTGTAACTAACATGTCTTTGCCTTGGGAGCCGCAAGAACGTTTTTTTAAGTTTCATGTAACTCATGCACAGAAAACAATAAAAAATAAATTTTTCATTAAATTAGGAAGGATTGTTTTGTCTTTTGAAGTTTTTATTCTATTTTTGTAATGAAACACCACGGCTCCAAGGAAAAAATTTTTCCTAGTGTGGCAGTCAACGTGCTGAACACCAGGCGCCCTGCACGGAGGCAGGGCTGAGGGAGAGGCAGTTCCGGCCTGGGGCGGGGAGAGAACGTGAGGCCCAGGTATCGTGTGCCGAAGTCAAGGCCACCGCGGCCACAGGCGTCTCAGGGGACTCGGGAGCTCGGGCCACAGAGGGCTGCGGTGGGCGGAGGAGTCAGGGACACAATGGTCAGTGCAGCGAAAGAGCAAATGTCCCTCCTGCCTTCCCGGGGAGGTGACCTCGGGGTCTCCCAGCCGGGACGTGTGGCGGCTTCTCTTTGCGGCAGTGTCCAGCTGTCAGGAGGCAGCGAGGACGGACCGGCTTTCTCAGGCCCGATGAGAGCGTTGACGTGGGCAACGCCCGTCTCGAGAGAGAATCACGCGCCGTCTCTGAGCCGCCGGGCCACGAACCCTCCGAAGCATCGCGGCCTCGAGACGTGGCTGCCAACGTGTAAGACGTGCAGGGGCCCCAGGGCCCTGTGAGCACACACGGCACCACCCCCGGAGCCCAGGGCGGACAGGGCGGCAGGACGGGCGCCAGGAGGAAAGGCAGTCGGGGGAGGGGCCGAGGCCCAGCGCCACGGAAGGCCACGTCGGCGACTGCCACGTAGGGGCCCCCGTGGGTCTAGAATTTAAAAGTAAACTGTAAAAATCAGAAGACAATTCACAAAATGTGACCTGGGCTTAATATTCGATTAAATGAAGAAATGTTATTGGTAACTTTTAGAGTCAGCGATGGCGTCATGGCTATTTCCAACCTAGCCCATTATCTGTCCGCGACGCATACGGCATATTTATAGTCGATGATAAAATGTCTGGGATTTGAGTCAAAATAATCCGCATGGAGCAAGGGGAGGCGTTACTGGGAGGCGGGCGTCGTGGACGGTTGTAGTGCTGGGCTTTCTGCCCCCGTCCGAGGCAGAAGATGTCATGATAAAAAGCAAGCATGTGCGTGCATGTGCACGCGTGTGCGAGCGTGTGCGCGCGTGTGCGTGCGTGCTTACGGAGCCCGCTGCCCCTGACCTGCTGAGAGGCCTGGGCTCCCACCACTTGACGTCCGAGGGCCGTTGCCACCTGCTGGGACCGGGAGGGGGGCAGTCCCCGGCCCGGTCCCAGCAGCGCCCGGGCTCCTGCAGCCCCTGGGTCCTCGCCGGCCTGGGCCCCAGCGACCCGGCTGTGTGCGTGGCAGCTCCGGGACTCAGCGATGCGCCTGCGCTGGTGCGGGGGTGGGGAGGTGGGTGGGATGCGTACCAGACGAGGTAAAAATAACTGTTCCAGAAGCAGTTTCCGCAAACGAGTCGCCGCCTCTGGCTGTTTGTTGCCAGGAAAATGGGGACAGATAAAGACGTCGTTTTCTGAACAGCTGCCCCTCCATCTGCAGGGCCGCCGGCCGCCGTCCAGGCGCGTTGACAAATCCAGGCCCGAGACCCCTGCGCGTGCTCCGGGGTGGACGCCGTGCGGGAAGGACGTGAGGCGTCCTGGGTCGTCCCACGCAGTTTACAGCCGGTTTGAGGGAAGACGCTTCCAGGTAGGTGGTGTTAAACTGAAACGAAATGGAGAAGCTTGGCGTGTGGACTCCGCGAACGTGGCTCTCGCGGCTCCACCAGCCTCGGCGAGGTGCGAGGAGCACAAGCACATGTGGCACGTGGCGCGGAAGCCAAGGTGCCAGTGGTGGCAGCAGAGCGGCAGGCCCAGGCGTGAGGGACTCGCCCCGACTTCCACGGGTCCTCGCGGGGCCGCACCAGGCCACACGGTCGGCAGATCACAGCGCTGTGGCGCAGGGCACAGTGATGTCCCTCACCCCTGGGTGACGCCCGTCTCGGCCAGACTCTGCCTGGAACCGACTTCCTGCAGGGGAGGCCGGCGTGTGTCCGTGGCCGACAGCACCCACAGTGCCCTGAGCTCGGCCATCGTTCCGTGCCCCTCTCCTCCCCGTCCGCAGGGAGGGCTTCTAAGGCTCGGAGCTGCCCGGGCGTCGCTCCCGGGAGGCTGTGGGTGACCTGGACCTGTGTGCCACAGAAAGGCGTTGGAAGGTTGGGCATGTCCCTAAGACGCCCAAGAGCCCAGCTCAGTGGAGAGTTTAACAAACAAGCTGAGACTGGCCAGTGTTAGAAGATCCGGTCGGTTCATTTTTAACTCGGTGACTCATGACATTTACTGAGAGCCTCAGATGCGTCAGGCCAGGGGCCCAAGGGGATGGAGTCTGACTGTTGACACCAGAGAGGCACAGCTCAGTGGGGAGAGCTGAGCGAGCAGAGGCTCGTCATGGCATGTGGCCTGTGGTACCTGGGAGGTGGCCCGTGGTAACTGGGAGGTGGCCCGTGGTACCTGGGAGGTGGTATGTGGTACCTGGGAGGTGGCCTGTGGTCGGGCTTCACGGGAGAGATGGAGAGAGGTGAGGGAGAGGGAGAGAGACACACAGGGAGGGAACCTCTGCTCCGGGTCTCTGTGCCTCGAATCGGCAAATGTCCGTGGAAAGAGAAAGCAAAGTGACGGTGGGGTGAGCCCTGTTCCCTCCAACCTCGCCGGGCTCTGGGACTGACCACGGAGCAGCTGCACGTGGCTCGTCTGAGGGTCTGGTCTGGGGAACGCTAAGGAGGGGCCGTGGAAGAGGAGGCAGGTCCCGGCTGCCCTCCGGGAGGAAGCCTGGGCTTCGGCCCTGCCAGGGGCCTCGGCGGTTGGACGAAGGAGGGTCCAGGAAGCCCAGGCTCTGCCCCTCCCCCAGCCGCTCCCTTCTCCCGACAGTGGGGGCTTCTGTGTGAGGCAGCCCCAGAGGGGCTCAGGTCCTGGGAAAAGCTGGGGGAGCAGAACCCCAGCACAGCGTTCGCTCTGGGAAAGCTGATGTCGCTGGCGCTGTCGTTCCGTCCGGCCCACCTGTGGCGCACTCAGCCGCAGGCGGCCCCTTCCCGGGGTGGGCTGAGCCCACTGGGCAGAGGGACAGCAGCAATAACTGTGGCTTCAGCCATCGGGGCCGGACACTCACCTGCGGCAAAGGAGCCGTCCGTCCTGCAGGAGGGGCAAGCAGGCAGGGCTTCCTGGGGGAGGCAGGCTTTGAGCTCACCTGGAAGGAGGGGCAGCAGCCCATAGAGGCTGGGCAGGGAAGGCGCAGGGGCTCAAAGCCTGAGGCAGGCTCCTTCTCGGTGCTCCTTCCCTCTGTGGCCTCAGCCTCCCTCCCACTCCCCACCCACAGCCGGACGCAAACTGGCAGCAGAAGCCCAGAGAACTGACGCTTAGGGCTCACGGCCCCACCCCCAGGGCAGTTCCCGCGTCTGCCAGGGGCACACAGAAGGCCTCCCTGGAGCACCGCCAGGCCAGGTAGAGCAGGCAGCAGATGCTGTAGGTCCCAGCAGAAGTGGAGACCGTTGGTCCTTTCCAGAGGGGCTACATATATAGACCACCTTTGTCCTGCCAGAGCCGGAGCTACAGCGAGCCCGTCCCCCAGGCAGTGCTTGCCGCACCCATGAGGTGTGAGTTTACCCATCTCCTGCTCCCCTTCTCCCCTCCACCTGCGTAAAGCCCACGATGCTCCTCCTCCCTCCTCCTCCTCCCTCTTCCCTCCCCCCACTCCTCCGGCCCCACCATGACCAGCCCTCTGCAGAGGTTACATGACCTGCCCCAGGCTTAGAAGCGTCCAGAGCTTCTGCCTCCACGTGGAGACTACACCCGTGGCTGCCTGTCCTCGCAACACCTGACCCTGAGCCGAGAGGGCAGGTCTCACGCTGCTCTGGGGTAACTTAGACGTCCTCCGGCAAGTGCAGTGAGAACACCAAGAGCATCTCCTGAAGTTCTAAGGAAAGCGTCCGATGCCTTCCCGACGCCTCCCCCTGAGGTCTATGAAGGTCGAGTGATGGGTGGGCGTGAGCACCCAGAGGCCCCTCCGACCCACTGGGCCCCCACAGGGCCGGCCCCACCTCCAGGTCCCAGCTGCGGGTCCCAGGGGCCGAGGCCATGAGTGGCCAGCAGGAGCTGGAGCCAGGACCACGGTGGCCGGCTCTGCCTGGGCCCTGGCCAGTGAGGACGTGGCCGGATTTCCCCGCAGGTCTGTCTGCTCTGCCTGCGCTGAGCCCCGGGTGGGCCTCCCTTGGGCATCCGTGAACCTGTCTGTTGGTTTTGGTCTGAAACAGATGAAAAGTCCCCAAGGGATTTTGCAATAATTAAAAACCAGCCATGCCGGCCACAGTGCCATCTGAGGGTGGCTCCCACGGTGAGGGAGCCTCTTCTGTCTCCCGACGGAGCCCAAACCTGCTTTCACAGACGTGACGGGAAGGGTATAATCTCCTGTGCTAATTAAAAGGATAAAGTGCCAGAAGCCCCAGGAGCCTCGCAGAAATCAGGGCAATGGCAGATTTAGGACTCAGTGCCCAGGCTTGGGCCACACAGACGGGGACACGGGGCGGCTTCTCCAAGCGTCCAACCTGCCGGGAGCCCAGCCTGGTCCAGTCCTGGATTTCGCCCCTCGGCACAGCCCGGTCCTGGCCTGGGACCTCACGCCTTCGTGGTCTGCAGTGTCAGCCCTCAACACTGCCCTCCGGTGACGTGGATGGCCCCACCCATGACCATTCCCAGGCAGACTGTGAGAGCCACCCACCCGGGGGAGGGCCACTCAGGCGCCCCCTCCCCGGCACCTGCTCCTGGAGCCATGTCCCCAGGACTCCTGCCACGGCCACGTGTAGGCAGAAGGGAGGCCTGGCCAGAGCGAGGGAGGAGGCTGGGCTCTGGGCTTCGGCCAGAATTCGCCCCAACAGAGGCAGCCTCACCTGGGCTGGGGTCAGAGAAACACACCTCCAAGACCCCATTCCCCATGCCCCACCCGGGAGCGGAAGAGGAGGGTGAGCCGTGGACACCAGGACAGGTCCTGCCCGAGCGTTTTAGCCCACTAGCCTGCCCCCGACTCGCCTAACCAGCCCCTACGAGCGAACAGAAACTAACGGAGAACGACAACTGGAAAATCCCCAGATGTTTAGAAATTAAGCAACGTGCTTCAAAATAACACGTGGGTCAAAGGAGACATTCACATGAAAATGGAAAACAGCTGAATTAAATCGTAACGAGCGTAATACGTACAAAACGTGGCTGTGGACGGCGCAGCTCGGACGCTTGTGCTAGGAAGGAAGCCGAGAACCGATGATCTAGTCGCCCCACTCGAGAAGCTAGAAAAAGAGCAAGTGAAGGTCAAGGAGGAATAATAACAGAAACAATAAATTTGAGAGTGGAAACAAATACCGTGGAAAATATAAAAGAGAAATTAATAAAGCCAAGAATTGTTTCATTGAAAATGTTCGTAACACACACAAGTCCCTAGCAAGGCAAGCGAGGAAAACCCGCAAGGCACAAGTGTCGGAAAGGAAAGGCCGAATGGCCCAAGTGTCGCGGGAAGAGGACGAACACCTCCGTGTTCACACGCTGGGAAGGAGGCGATGCGGCTGATTCTTTGCAAGACACGACTTGTTGGCCTCCGGACTAGAATGTGTGAACTGCCCTGTAGGATTCGTAAAGTCAAATCTGTAAAGAAAAACCTTCCCATAAAACAAACTCTGAGGAGTCCAGGATGTGGGGCTTTCGCTGCGCCCAGCGGCCGCCAGAGCCTGGCTCTCCGCAGGCAGGGCTGTCCACACCCCGACCCCACGGCCGCCCGCCTCTCCCATCCCGCAGGGCTCCTCAGGCCGTGCCCCGTCCAGGCCGGGGTGGAGTCAGGTATCCCTCCTGGCTCCGAGGCAATCTTTAAAGAACAGACGCTGCCGGCCTTCCGCTCCCAAGTACCGAGATTCCTCCAAAGCTGCAGTAACTCAGCAGACAGCAGCTCGAGGACAGACACGCGGACCACAGGAACAGAGGAGAGCCCAGAGAGGGTCCACGCACCCGCAGAGCCGGGGCACCTCGTCAGGGAGGGTGGAGCTGCAACAGGTGCCGCAGGACCCGCTGCAGGTGGGAGGGAGAAGGGGCTGAGCCGGCTTCACGGCACCCACGGAACACCGCTCGAGGCGCTTGCAGACCTGGTGGGAGGAAGGTGAGAGTTACAGAGGAAGCTGTGACTCGGAAAAGATCATAGTTCGGATGTAGGTACACATGATCCAAATACATCTAGAACTACAAATCAATGATAAAAAAGACCAACGATGCAAAAAAAAATGGGAAAAGACGTGAACAGGAACTTCACAGAAGCAGACATCGGAATGGCCGGGGGCACATTGTACGTCACTCAATGCCCTGCGTCACCAAGGGAGCCAGGACGAAGCCAGCGGAGTTCCAGGCACACCCGCCTGAGCGGCGCCGGCAGAGCCCCACGGCGCAAGGGGGCACTGCGGGAACTCCGTTCTGCGCAGTATGCGCTGGTATGGCCGCTTTGGAAAACAGCGTTTGGTGGCGTCTACTGATGCTAAAATACGGACACTCTTTGACCCCGAATTGTAATCCCAGGAAATTACCCCAGAGAAATGAGCACTTATGTCCACTGGAGAAAGGCACAGGGTGTTCTTACCAGTATTTTTCCTCAAAGCTAAACTTTGGAAACAGCCTAAACGTTCATCGATAGTAGATAAATAATTTGTGGAGCATTCATATGAGAAATACCACGCAGCAACTCAAAGGGGGACAAGACCCTGTCTCTAAAAAGAGGGGGGGCTGTCGCTACATGATGAATTTCACTGGCGGAGAAGTGTGACGTACGATTCCGTTTATGCTACGTTCGGGGACACCCGGGCCAGGGCCAGGGGGCCTGACATTGCGGCAGGTGTTCCACGTCTGCGGGGGGCAGGCAGGGGTGAGTCCCCAGCACGTGAGCGACCAGACAGAGCAACTGTGGGGAGCCCGGTCGGCGCCCCCAGCCCTCCAGGCAGTTCCTGGAGGACAAAGGCCAGCCCAGAGGATGGGAGACAGCGGCCTGAGGCCGGGGGAGGCTCACGTCCTCACCAAGGGCAGCAGGGACACCCGAGTGTCCAGGGGAGAAGGGAGAGCCCCCGGCAGGGCCGCGGACTTCCAGCAGGAAACCGGGTCTGCTCGCGGGCGCCCAGGTGGGAGTGAGAGCAAACACGCGGCGTCTGTCAAGGGGACGTTGCCGCCTGGAGCCAGGGAACATGCTTGGGCTGAACTTTGTTCAGTGCCCTAAATTTAAACAGCTAGAACTATTTTTTAAGCACCATCATATTTAACCTTTAGAAATGATTGGCCTCTTAATGAGGTATCTGCATTCAACTGTACGACTGGAATTTGACACAAGCTTCATCTTAGAGCACTTCCCTCCCTGTGCTCTGGGCACGAAACGCCCATCGTGTGGGGGCAGGGCTCAGAGGACATCGTGCTCCTGTTCTGTGGGGGGCAGGGCTCGGAGGACATCATGCTCCTGTTCCGTGGGGGGCAGGGCTGAGAGGAAGTCATGCACCTGCTGTGTGGGGGGCAGGGCTCAGAGGACATTGTGTACCTGTTCTGTGGGGGGCCAGGGCTCGGAGGACATCATGCTCCTGTTCCGTGGGGGGCAGGGCTGAGAGGAAGTCATGCACCTGTTCTGTGGGGGGGGCAGGGCTCAGAGGACATCGTGCACCTGTTCTGTGGGGGGCCAGGGCTCAGAGGACATCATGCTCCTGTTCTGTGGGGGGCAGGGCTCAGAGGACATCATGCACCTGTTCTGTGGGGGGGGCAGGGCTCAGAGGACATCGTGCTCCTGTTCTGTGGGGGGCAGGGCTCAGAGGACATCGTGCACCTGTTCTGTGGGGGGCAGGGCTCAGAGGACATCGTGCACCTGTTCTGTGGGGGGCCAGGGCTCAGAGGACATCATGCTCCTGTTCTGTGGGGGGCAGGGCTCAGAGGACATCATGCACCTGTTCTGTGGGGGGGGCAGGGCTCAGAGGACATCGTGCTCCTGTTCTGTGGGGGGCAGGGCTCAGAGGACATCGTGCTCCTGTTCTGTGGAGGGGGGCAGGGTTCAGAGGACATCGTGCACCTGTTCTGTGGAGGGGGGCAGGGTTCAGAGGACATCGTGCACCTGTTCTGTGGCGGGCAGGGCTCAGGGGACATGGTGTGAGTGGTTGGCTGGGAGGGGTCCTCCAGCACCCCAGACCCAGCCCTCGCTGTGCAGGTCGAAGCTGCATTTCGGACGCTTTGGGCTGCTCACACACAGAGTGGGAGTTCTTGACCCCACTACGCGATGTCAAAGATGGAAAGCGAACGCCATGTGTTGACTCCTCCTGGAAACGTGCTCACGCTGCAGTCAGGTGCCGTCAAAGACCTGCTGTTGCTCGCTCGGTGTGAAACCCAGCCCAGGAGGCTGAGCCACGTCCTTTGCGACTCGGGCCTCTGGTGTGTCCCCTCAGGAAGGGGAAGGTGGTGGCCCTTGTCCACGGGATCCGGGTGCTGAACCGGCCTGAGTCGCGCCCAGACAGCGGCAGAGGTCTCCGGTGTGCGCCGGTAGAGGCCATGGGCCTGCGCTTCCCAGGGAGCCTGGGGCACTGGGAGGGGGGCTCTGTCCTCTGACCTGGCCAGCCGTGACCCCGACCCCACATGGCCGCAGCCCCCGCCATCAGCGTCACCTGTCACCCACCTGTGCTCTCTCTGTGGTGTCCTGGGGCCGGGGCAGGCATCCTTGAGCAAACTGCACAGACCCGGGCACTCTTTGGGGCGGGGTCACCATCCGCCTGCATCACCCTAGGGGCCGAGTGTGAGCAGCAGACAGTCATCACCGCGACTCAGTGCAGCCCCGGGCCCCCCGGGGTGGACTGCAGGCGCCACACGCAGGCTGAGCCTCCCACACCTGGAGGAGCCGCCCCGGCGCTGAGGGGCCATGGCGCAGCCCAGGGAGTCCAGTGTCCTTTATGTTCTCCAGGTGACTTGGAATCACCGTGTCGACCTCGGGGGCCAAGTGAACCCTATTTCCCAGGGAAGAGGCAAAATGCTCAGACCGCCTAAGCGTCTGGAAAGAAATGGAAAGGAAGGCATCGGGATCCGCTGCCTTGTGGACACCGGCAACCCTGGCGCTGACACAGAGACCTGAGCGGGGAGTCGTCCACGAGAAGCCGCCGCTGACGCCCAAGTTAAAGCTGAATTTTCCAGTGATGTGAACAAATCAACTATAGGCACAGGGAGGCCGACCACACTCGCCCCCTCCCTCCACCCGCTGATGCGGAGCTTCCACGCGAGCCCCACGTCTGGGTCTGCAGACCAGGCGCACCCAGCGAGCGCCGGCTTCTGCGCCTCCGGCCCCGGGGCTGAGCGGCCACATACGGCACAGGTGGAGCGAAAGGAAGTTCCCTCCCAAACACGCCAAGACACGCCGGACTGCACTCGACACTCAGAGGCCCGAGGTTGAAGACGATGTTATAACCAGAAACCCAAGCAGGATGTTGGGGGGAAAGAAAGTCAGGGAGAGAAGGCGCCTCCAAAATTAAACACGAACTTGCTCAGTGGGAGGACGGGGGGAAAGGCAAGAAGCCCCCGGAGAGCGGAAGGGGCCAGGGAAAGGGCGGGGGGCGTCCGGGCCCCAGGACCCAGCTGCCTGGCCAGAGAGCACGGAGGACACGCCAACCCGGCACGCGTCAGGCTGGGGCGGGGAGAGGAGGGACCCGGCGGGACAGCGGCCGGCCTGGCCCCATCTGCGGGCACCTGACTCTGAGCTGAGCTGAGGACCCATCCGTCAGCTCCGTGGCAGAATGAGGACAGTGTGACGTGTAAGGACGGAGACGACCTGTGTCCCCATCCGCCATGTCTCAGAGTCCCTTGAACAATGCCTGGCAAGTATGGCCGAAATGTAGTTCTTGATGGGCTGTGGAAAAACAGAACCCAACCTGCCCACAGGTGCAGAGCCGGGGGAATGAGACACTGCACACCTGCCGCTCCTCCCTTCGAGGTGCTCCCCTGCCCCCCTCCCTGCCCCTCCTCCCTGTGAGGTGCTCTCCTGCCCCCCCTCCCTGAAGTGCTCCCCTGCCCCTCCTCCCTGTGAGATATTCCCCTGCCCCTCCTCCCTGTGAGGTGCTCCCCTGCCCCTCCTCCCTGTGAGGTGCTCCCCTGCCCCCTCCCTTCAAGGTGCTCCCCTGCCCCTCCACCCTGTGAGGTACTCCCCACCCCTCTTCCTCCCTTCGAGGTGCTCCCCTGCCCCCCTCCCTACCCCTCCTCCCTTCGAGGTGCTCCCCTGTCCCTCCTCCCTGTGAGGTGCTCACAGTGCTTCACTCTCTGGCTCCCATCTGTCTGTCCCTGTCCTCCACCCCATATGGAGACAGTCAATGAACTAGGAGTTTCCCAATTGGGTCTGAAAGCCGTGTTGTTCGTGTCACCGTGGTACCCTGTAGGGCAGCGGTCCCCAACCTTTATGGCACCAGGGACTGGTTTCATAGAAGACAATTTTTCCATGGACGTGGGCTGGGGGGCTGCGGAGCTCTGTGGCCCAGTCCCCAGCAGGCCACGGATGGTGGGGGTGGGGCTGCAGCTGCAGGTACAGCCACGAAGCCTCTTCCTTCCAGCTCTGCTGAGGAGCGTTGGACGAATGAGTGTGGCATTTAACGGCGGTGTCTGACGGTCCGACCTGCGTGCACCAGGAGCTGGTCGTCGTCGCGTGCAGCCTCTTGGCACCGAGTCTCCTCACAGTCACCGTCTTCTGTGGGGAGAACACTTAAACTCTCGCGTGGGTAGAAGCTCCTCCCTGCCCTCCACGCGGCTCCTGTTGAAGGGGCAGCGGGTCCTCCATGCTGGCTGCGTCCTGCACGTCCCTCCCGCCACACGTGTCTGCCTGTCTCTGCTGACCTCAAGGTGCCACCCGCTCCCCTCCGGGGCTCCTTCCTCCCCGCCCTCCTCACCCGCCTCTGCCGCCTGCCGGGCACAGCAGACTGCCTGGAGGCCAGACCCGGCCGCCGGGCCGTCCACTCCGTGGCACCAGCTCTGGGGGGTTGTGGCCGTGCTGGGGGTCCCTGAGCCTGGCACCGTCTGGGTTCCGGCGATGGCCGCTCCTCTGAGAGCATCTCTGCTCCAGCGTGACCCTGCCCCCAGGCCAGCTCCGGGACCCCTGCTCTGACGGGCCCCTGTGCCCAGGCAAGCACCGCGTGTACTCAGAACACAGCTCTCGTCTGTCCCGAGGCCAGTCCGTGTCTCCCTCCTACCGCTGCAAGGGGGCCCTGAGGCAGGTGGCTGTCCCCGAGGACCCACAGCCACGGGGTGATGGATGCCAGATGGGCCAGGCCTTCTTGTGGCTGTGTGGCCCGGGTGGCTCCCCCTCCAGAATTTCAGAGCCTGAAGCTGCTTCTCTGTTCATCACGGGTCTCAAAGTCCCCCAGTGACGAGCACAGGGAGGGAAACTGTTTTGGACGAGGTTTTCAGCAAGGTCAATATCATTCATTTTATTCCTTCTAAATTAGCCTTCTCAGCTGCCTTTGGCAAGGATGTCCCCGCAGATTCAGGCGGATGGATGGCCCGTGCTGCACCCCTGCACCCCCTGCCCTCGCCTCGAGAGGGGGGGCTCCAGCGCAGATGCGGGGAACTGGCGTGGGCAGTGAGCTCGGGGACAGCTCATGTGTGTGCGACGGGTCCCCATGGCGTTGCCTTCTCTTTGTGGGACGTTTCCCATGACCTTGGGCCCCTAGGCCTTGGCCACTCGTCTGGGTGCTCAGCATGTCTTGTCTGAGAGCGTCAGGAACGAATCTGACGCTCGAGGCATCAGCTGACCGTGGAGTGTGTGCCCATGAGGTACGTGGGCAGGGCGTGTGGCCACGGCGAGAATCCATCCAGACTCCAGTGCCCTCGGAGACCCCACCTGTCCACAGGAGACCCCTTCTGTCCAAGAGTGACCCTCGCTCACGGCAGCGCTCCTGGAAGAGCTGGCTCCCCGGCAACAAGGCGACCGTCCCTGAGCAGGTCGCTCGAGTCAGGGAACCCAGCGCCGCCTGCGTCCTGATCCACTTGGCCTGTGTGGGGTCATGGGGTTCACGGCTGGGCTCTGCTGGGGTCACAGGGTTGCAGGGGGTGACCAGGTTGGCACCGGGGTGCTTATCTCTGCTCCACTCTGACTCAACGTGTTTCTAACGGTTGGAGGAAGGCGGCAGCCAGGTGACCTCCAGGCTGAGCTGGGGAAGAGCCTCAAACGTTTCGGGGTCTCGGATGGTGGGAGGGGCTGTTGACCACGCAGATTCCTGGGGTCCTTCCATGGCGGCTGATTCTGCAGCACTTGGGGGCCTAGAGTGTGTGTTGCAAACAGGCCCGAGGTGATTCCCAGGCAGGTTCTGGCCTGGTGCAATGGGTGCTAGACTGAGATGTGTGGGTGGGGTGTGTGTCCAGGTGGGGTGTGTCCAGGTAGGGTGTGTGTCCAGGTGGGGTGTGTCCAGGTGGGGTGTGTCCAGGAAGGGTATGTCCAGGTAGGGTGTGTTGAGGTGGGGTGTGTCCAGGTGAGGTGTGTGTCCAGGTGGGGTGTGTGTCCAGGTGGGGTGTGTCTCTAGGAGGGGTGTGTCCAGGTAGGGTGTGTCCAGGTGGGGTGTGTCCAGGCTGCTCTCATGGGCCGCTGTTGGGCTTTCGGCTCCTCCTGCAGCAGAGCTGGACAACACGCTTCCACACGCTTCCCCATCATGAACCTGGACGGGAAATTTCACTTTGGCCCCAAAGGTTCCAGCTGAGCCGGGGGGTGTCCGGGAAGCTGCCAAAGTCGCTCCAGCTTCGCCCTGGGCTGTGAGAAGCAGCAGAGGAAGATGGGCTGGCGCCAGCTTCCAGTGGCGTTGCAGAGCGGGGCCTTCCCGCCGACGTCCCTAAATGAGAGCGTCTCCAAGGGTGACCCAGCTTCAGCCCAAAGCTCAGGATTAACGACACGCTCAGCGAGAGGGAAAATCACATTTCCAGGATATTTTCCAGTGTTCCACTTTGACAAATGTGTTAGAATGTGCTGACGCCCTCTGTTTAGCAGCCTTCATCATAGTCATCCCAGCCGCCTCGCGAGTACCCGATTCCCCAGCGCTCGACGGCGGAAGGTACCCCCGCCCGGTGCGGCCCGTCTGCACGTACCCGGGAGTGGGCAGTCGGCTCCGGGGCCTTTCAGAGCTGAGCCCCAGGGGGACCGTGGCACTCACCAAGGCAGGAAAGGTCCCCTGCGAGCCCTGGTGCCCCACGGCCTGGCCGACCCCCGTGTGCACGGGGCGCGTGCGGCCCTTGGGAACTGGATGATTCCGCAGCAAAAGCCTCCGGGGGATGTTCTGGGAGGACACCGAGAGCAGAGAGGGCGCTGGTGCCATCAGTGGGCACACGGCTGGCCTGATGCTGAGCTCCCGGTGCCCCGACCCCCAGATGTGGCATCAACTCCTGAGGCCGCGGAGAGTGGGAGGACCCAGTGCTGACCTGACAGCCCGTCTGTGTCCTCATACCTCTGTCCCCAGAACTCCTCACTTCCGGAGTCGAGGGGCCCTGGCGTGGAGAGAGGACACAGCATCCAGGCGTCCCTGAGGCGTCCCCGTGGACCCTGGTCACCCTGCTGGAGACGCCAGTGCACAGCCCCCCCTGGGGACGCGGGGGTGAGCGTTTCGCCCGGAGAACGGTCCCAGGACTGTGGGGCAGGTCTGGGCAGGGCCTCGGAGGAGGCGCTTCCTGGACGATGCGCTTCGAGTCCTTGCTGGCGCCAGCTCAGCTGTCCAGGACGGCTGGACCCGGCCCGAGCCCGGCCCTCTCCCCGGCACCGGCTTGCTGAGCGCTGTGGAGAGGGCACCGGCCTGGCCCTTGCTGGCCGGGTTTCCAGGGCCTGAGCCTCCTGTCCCCGGCCTGCCCTCGGGCAGCCCCGGTGTCCATGTGTGAGAAGGAGCCCACCGCCCTTGCCGCAGCCCCCGTCCCTCGTCTGGGGCCCCCTGAGGGCTCTGCCGAGCAGCCTCCCGCCCCTCCCGCCCCAAGGATGCCTCTGGCCTCGGCACCTGCATGTCCACGGGGACAGCTGTCCAGTGTCGGCCACGGGAAGCTGGCGGGGTTTCCAGGCTGCCCCGGGCCCAGGCGCGGCTTGCCCAGTCCTGCGCCATCTGGCCGGGGCCTGCAGTGTCCAGGTGCTGGGCTCCTCTCGGGAGGTGCCCAGGACGGCCGATGGGCCACGAGCCTTGAGCCACCAGCCTGGGCGTCCTCCGCCCAAATTTAAGGCCCACCCTGGTTTTCTGTGAGCTGCTGCGGTCATTTCGGACGGAATTCTCCCAGAGGGTGCGGAATGCTGGTGCTGGGGGGCCAGGGCCCGAGGCTCCCCCCACAGTGGTCGTCTCTGGACTCGGGCGCTTGGCCAGAGAGGCCCAGCCCTGGGCAGAGGACACCGGCCACTCCCCATCAGGTCGAGGGTGACCCTGGGCCCAGCCTGGCCTCTCCCCGCAGCAGGGACATTCACGGGAATAGTGGCGCTGGGTCCCCTCGCCCGGCAGAGGCAGGCAGCACCCCCTGGATCCTGGACACCTTTGCTGAGGCGCCCGAGATTCCACACCCGTCCACTCGCGCCTGAGCCTCAGTCCAGCGGCCGCGTGGGCAGAGCGGACGTGCTCCACGTGTGTGTCCCGCGCGGGGCTGGGGCTCGCGGCTTTGCACACGGAAGACACAGGCTCTGGCGCCTGACCCGCTCCTCCGGCTCCAGCCTCAGCGGCTTCCAGCTGGGCCGTGATTAATCACAATATGCAAATAGCTCATTTAAAAAAATTAATCATGCCAAGAACGGTCTGATTCATTATTCAGCACGAGCCGTGTACACAGAATTCCTAACGACCTGCCAAATCGAGGGTCGGGACGACTGTTTCAGACAGAGAGACCCACGGTCCCCGCGGACGGCTCTGCGCGCTCCCAGCTCCCGCTTCCCTCCCCCACCTTTGGTGTCCGGGGCTTTCTCGGCCTCGTCCCCACCCGACACAGACTTTGTAGGGTTCCAGGGCGCTAGGGGAACCCAGGTCCTTGCTCAGGGCAGCCGGACAAGCCGGGGTCAGCATGGAGACCGGCCAAGAGGTGCCGCAGCCGGGCTTGTCTCCACACACGGGTCCCGGGTCCACATGGCTGACGTGGAGCCGTGCCGTGGCTCAGCGGGTGGCCCCAGCCCGTCCCCATTCCCAGGCCTGCGTGTGCCGGCCCAGAGGTTCCCCTAGGCCTGACCTCAGGGCCCCAGAAGAGAGCCCCCATAGCACTGCCCGTCCTGACACCCTGGGGTCGCCCCGGGTCCCACTGTGACAGCCCTGCCAGACACGCGGCCCCTCACAGACACTCCGCAGGGCGGCCATTGTGCCCGGATCTGAGCACTGCCCTCTGCACACGGCAGGGTCTGTCCTAGAGCAGGTCGCGCCCTGTTCTCCCCGATCCACGAGGGCCCCGGCCCAGCTCCAGGCCCACAGCGGCCCCGGGGACGGCCTGGTCCCTGCAGGTCGCTGCCCCTCCTCCTCCCGGGGTCCAGGTTCGACGTTGTCACGCACGTTTCATTGCAGGAAAAACGGCGAACCTGCTCTGTGGGCTCACGTGAGCTTTCTAATAACTCATTTAGGGCGTGGGTCACCCAGGACGGCCCTGAGCCTCCAGGGATCCGGCACTGAGCCCCGCGCAGCTGGGAGCCTCACGCCCACGGCCGGCCGGCAGCCCCGGGAACCAGGCTTTGGCGCCAAGGCCCTCCGGAGTCAGCTCCCTGCAAACAGGTCGGGGGAGGAAAGTGAGCACCCCGTGGCATGCGAGAGGGATGCGGTAACATTTAGTTGTACTTAACGCTTGGGGCCGGACCCGCCTGTTAAACGGACCCAGGGAGGCTCACTCAGGGCAGAGTGCTGCGTGTCCGCCTCCGGGATGTCGTAGCCTCTAGCCCGTGAGCCTCGGCCCCTGGCGACTGCGCCGGTCCTTCCCCCAGGGAGGGAGGGCCGCGTCCCGTCTGCTCCCGACCCCACCCTGAGGGGCTGACAAGGTAAGGGAGGCGCCGGCCACTGCTCCACACAGCCGAGAGAGGAGCTCGGGGCTGGGAGGGACACTCCCCGTGGGGCCCAGGGGGAGCCCAGCCTGTGGCCGGTGTCCAGAGAGACCCCACGGGTGGCCCTGCTCGCCGGGTGGAGAGACGCTGCTGTCCTCTCAGCGCTGCCCCCGCGGGCTGCGCCAACACCCAGAGCACCTGCAGCAGGTCGCTGGCTGGCACCAGCGACACTCCCCACGCGCCTGAATCCTGAACTCGCCGCCAGCGACCCCAGCGCCTGCACGGGTGTTACGTACGGTTGTGCGAGCATCTCGGGGGCCGCCCAGCCCCGGGGTTCAGGCTGCTGTTTCGTGGCTCAGAAGCGCAGCCCGGAGCAGCCATAGTGACGCGCGCAGGTGCCGATGCCCCTTCCCGAGATGCCCGCACAGCCAGTCCCTCCCTTCAAGCGCACTGGACGCCGCTGAGGCGGGGGAGGGGCAGGCGCGAGGTGGACCCTGCAGCCCACGAGGCCTCCTCCTGGCGCTGGTGGTGCAGAGAGGACGCGTCCCAAGGCCTCACGCGGGGCTGGTGCTCCCACCACACACACGCTCCTGAGGATGGACCCACAGTGCAGACACCTCCGCGCGCGCCCTGGCAGCAGCATCCAGGACGTGGGGACACCGGGCCCCTCGGGGTGAGGCCCCTGTTTCTGGCCTGTGCTGCTCCTGGGAAGCGTCTTCACCACAGACCTTGACTCCATCCTGGACACCCGAGTCCAGCTGCACCTGACCAGGTATGCGGAGCCTGCCCCGCGTCCCAACAGGCCTCAGAAGGGGCCCAGACCTCGCGGCTCCACCTGGGCCATGTCCCCTGCATCCTTCTTTCAGCCTGTGGCCGAGTGAGCTGGGAGTGTCCAGGGTGCCCACTGGCTGGCCCCGGTCCCCAGCAGGACGCTGCTGCCGCCTCCAGGAGCCCCAGCCCCAGCTTGACAGAGCAGGTGCGGGAGGAGGGCCCCCACCTGGAAGCCAGCGTGGAAGGCTGGTGCACGTGCTCTGAGTGGAAGGTGCCAGAAAGAATCTCAGGGCTGTGTGTGGTGCACATTTATGCCACATAGAAGGAAAACATTTCAAACCCCAAACAGCCTTCACCTTTATCTAAATCTGGAAAAATGTGTTTTTTCATTTGTTCAGAAGGAGCGTCTCGCCCAGGCAGCCTCGGCTGTCGTTAGATACTGAACTGTCAGAAGGAAACTACAGCCTCTCAGTTCAGTAAGTTGCACGGAACAAAGGGAAATCACAGAGGCTCTTCTATAGATTTTACAAAAGCAGAATGTTATTTTTTTTTTCAGGGTAGAAAAATCCTTTTTCCTCTTAAAAAAATATGCTGTATAAAATCCTCGTGTTAACAATCAGATCGGCGGCCTGGAACATTACCCGGAGCAAGAGCAGGGAGAGTAGGGGACATGTGGCTCCGTCACCCGGTGTCACGGAACAGAAAGCTCCTTTTAAGTACAGAGCTCCTCTGGCATCTGCTGACTAGGAAGGGAAAAACTTCAAAAAAATAAAAAAAGAATTTTAAAAAATAGAGAGCTCTTCCTTAGAATATATTTAGAATAAAACTCAATTAAACAGAAATTAAGTTATGCGTAACCTGTCAGAGCTACCGCTACGATGTCAGGGAAAGCTGCGGTTCATCTGGCTTGCGAGTCACGGGTCAGTGCTAACTTGTCTTTATTATCGGTAACTATCTGCCCACGACCCACTGCACACGCTGTGGCTTATGTTCTAGAAACCCACGTGCTAAGGGAAAAGGCCACCTGTTCTGCTGCGTCTGAGTTAGGAGTGTCTTACATCTCTTTTTCATGCATTATTTTAAAACCAGTCAAGCAGAATCGGCTGGACAGGTGGCTCATGCCTGTAGTCCCAGAACTGTGGGAGGCCGAGGCGGGAGGATCGCTTGAAGTCAGGAGTTCGAGACCAGCCTGGGCAACATAGCTAGACCCCATCTCTAAAAAAAAAAATAAAAATTAAAAACATAAAACCCAGTGGAAACAGAAATCCTTCAGAACCACAATGCCGAGCTCTGGGAACCCAGGGACAGTTGACCCCGGCAAACCTCTGCACAGAAAGTCCAAAGGGGACAACCTCAGGGCGTTCCTGAAGAGGACAGAGTGACCTTACATTCTGCCTGTGTGTGTCCCTGGTCAGCCCTGCACGGGCCACACTGCAACAATCGGAGCCACACAGTGTCCCGCACAGCTGGTGGTCAGGGGAGCCGCCCTCTGCCTGCTGCCCCTCCCCTGGTGGGGAAGCTGGCTGAGGACAGCGCTGGTGACAGTGTCCACCACAGCTCTGCTGTACCCACCGGGGCAGAAGGGACAAGTCTGGACAGCGGGTGAGGAAGGGGTCGGGGACAGGGCCATGGTGCTGGCCCGGCTGGGGCAGGGAGGATGGATGCAACACTCGAGGGCGTCTCCTTGGCTGGTGAGTTCCAGGCGGAGAAGATAGGAGCCCCTCGGGGGCAGAGCACGCCCTGGAGTCGTGACTTGCCCAGGATGGCAGAAGGCACAGTCTCCAGATACTGCTCCCCCACCAGGGGGTGGAAAGGCCAGACCAGGCCCCCAAGGGATCTGAGTTGGGGACAGCAGCCCCAGACCCTGCCCAGGCCCAGGACAGCATCACTGGCTCCTGCAGGGATGAAAGACTCCACTTCTGCTGCCTCCCGTGTGCTGGCCGGCTCCCAGCCCAGGTGGGGCCCCCCGTGGGCGAGGAGTGGAGGAAACGGGGAGCGTGTGCAGCCGGCCCCGACGCACTGTCTACACTCGGCAACGCACTGTCTACACTCAGCAACGGCGAACAAACACGATCCTGACTACCAGGTCCCTCTTGTCTGGCACCTAACCCGAGGGAGGAGCCCAGCGGGCTGGTGGGTGGTTTTTCAAGTTTTATCAACATGATAAACATTATTCCCTTCAGGGAAAGGCTGACATTTTCCCTGTTCAGGCAAAACCAAACTGGAAAGTCAGAACCAGTGATTTCTGAATATTGGGCATTTTTTTTTTTTTTTTTTTTTAGACAGAGTCTCACTCTGTTGCCCTGGCTAGAGTGCCGTGGCATCAGCCTAGCTCACGGCAACCTCCAACTCCTGGGCTCAAGCGATCCTCCTGCCTCAGCCTCCCCAGTAGCTGGGACTACAGGCACCACTATGCCTGGCTAATTTTTTCTATTTTTAGTAGAGACGGGGTCTCGCTCTTGCTCAGGCTGGTTTAGAACTCCTGAGCTCAAGCGATCCTCCTTCCTCGGCCTCCCAGAGTGCTGGGATGACAGGTGTGAGTCATGGCACCCGGCCATGGGGTTCTTAAAAATTGCGTTTCTTATCATATTGATTCTTTTAACAGCAATGACTTTACCATTGGCGGATTTCTTGCGCAGACGTGATAGAAAATGCTGGAACAACTGGAAAAGCCGAAGCAAGTTGTTGGTCGGTCCCACGCCTCCGTGGGAGCCGGCTGCAGAGTCGGCGGGCGGAGTGAGGACCTTCCGGGGCGGGGAGCTGTGGGCCCTGCTGGGATTCGTTTTCTCTCGGGCCTTGAGGGCTGTGTGTATCCCTGGGAAAATCAGGACCTTGGACAGCACTCCGTACACAGGCTTGTAAATCCAGCCGTCACACAGAAGTGACGCCAGAGGCTAGCCCCCCCGGGCTCACTTTGTCCCCATTTGAAGACTTTACAGGACGCGCCGCCTCTCCCGGCCCCAGCACCTGCTGGGCCCCCCCAGCCAGGCCCTTCCAGACCAGCCGCCCCCACAGGCCCCGCAGGCCCCAGCACGGGGCGCTGAGGAGCCTCCAGGGCTCTCAGACGGGAGGGTCTCTGTCCCTGTGCAGGCAGGACTGCCCGGCCGGGCCCCGGGGCTGTGCCCAGTGGTGCTCACAACACGAAGCGAAAATCCTCCATCCTCACCGCAGCATCGCTGGGAAACCCCCCTCGATTGGTCCCGCCTGGATAGAATCTTTTTAATGCTTGTCACTTTTACTTCACTAAAATTTAAAAAAACCGACCATATCAAGGATGGATGAGGATGTGGAGGTGCCGGAACTCTCATTTCCGCGGGCGGAAACGCGAACCTTGGGAAAGGAACTCAGCAGTTTCCCACAGAGCTGCGGAGGGCACCCCTTGGAGCAGCTGTGCCGCCGTCGGGCTATTCCGTCACCTGTGCAGGGACATTTGGGTCATTTCAAGTTTTCACCATGAGGAAGAAGCTGCGATAAGTATTTTATGAGTCTACGTGGGAATGTGCTCTTATTTCTCTTGAATAAACAACTAGAGTGGAATGGGTGGATACTAGGTCCGTGCGGGCGGTTCAGCCTCGTCCGCTCGCGAACCCCTCGCGCCTCCTACTGCGGGCAGAGGCCGACCCCCACTCGCAGCTGTCCCAGGGCCGCGGCGGAGCCCCTCCCCCACCCAGAGACCTGGTGGCTGCTCCGGGTCCTGCACGAGGTCAGAAAGGAACTGGATAAGAGTTTTGCTGCATAAAAACATGCAATTATATGGAATGAAAGCCAGTAAAGTTCTAATCACTAAATTACGAGCTACATTTCCGTTTTCCTATAGAGTGATAAATAACATAGAGACGGTGATTTATAACTGTGGGGCAGGCAATTACTTCTTCACACATTTCTTTTTAATAAGCACATAAACAGCAAGCTCACCGTGGCTCAGGTTACTGTAACGAAACGAACAAACATCTCTCAGGCTTTCTGAGCCTTGCTGGGGCAGCGCCTTCATTTTTCCTTCATGTTTCTGTTGAACAGACGTTTACTGAGCAGACGCAGAATCTGGGGCACAGACGCCGCAGGTCCCGGAGCCGGGACAGGCCCGGTGGGCAGGTGCCAGCCAGGGTCCCCCGAGACCCCAGCACCTGGTCTCCCAGGCCAGGTGCGCCGATGGCCCTGATCTCATGGGGTCGTGTGAGGGCCCAGCACAGGTCACCCTGCCATGGGGGATCGGGGAGGGCTTCCTGCAGGAGGGGCTGAAGGATTTGGGTAAAGGGTGCTGTGTTTTCCAAAGGGGAGGCTGTGGCCCGGAAGCCAGGGTAGAACCGACATAGTCTCTGTTGTCCTGTCCCAAAGCGAACTAAACAGAAAGCAGCACACGCCAGGCCCCCCGGCCCCGATCCCTGGCTGCCCCTGCCAGACCCCTGCCCAGGTTCCACGCTCGGTGCCCATGGTCCGGGCAGGCCACGGGGAGTGGAGATGTTGGCCTCAGGCCACCAGCGCCCCCACCCCCAAGCCCTTCCTACGGCACCCTGGCACTGCTGTCCCTGGTGCTGCTGTCCCTGGCACTGGCTTGGGGGCAGAGGAGGAGCCCGATGTCCACTGTGCACATTTCTGCCCTGCAGGTAGCCCACCACCGCTGATTTCAAGCTGCCACTGGAAAACCAGCTCACGAGATTCCTGAGAATTCAGCGATGGGCCCTGACTACCTAGTGCAAGCCAGAGCTGATATGGGCGGCCGCAGCTCCTCAGCTCCCCAGAACTCATCCTGTGCAGAGACCACACTCTACTCCACCCCCTGGGGTCCACCCCAACCCGTGGGGTTTGGCCCCGCCCCCAGGTCTGGCCCCACCCATTGGGCTCTGGCCCTGTTTGATGGAGGGTAGCTCCGCCCCATGGAGTCTGGCTCCGCCCCCACACCTGCCACCTGCGCTCAGCACACCTGGGACTCTGGCTGCCCAGCCCAGAGCCGCTCCTCAGCCTCCCACTCTGGGTTCCTTCCCGCCTCTGCGGGGACTTTGG